TTTGAATGACCTTGGTACCTTGTACCAAATATCCCGGAGTATGACATGTCATACTCCTGAAGTGTGAAGTGTCACACTTCATGTAACCAGGGTACACTTAGTGCTACGTACCCCTTTACATTTACCTTATCTTTCACTCTACCGGCGGAAATGATCTAATAACCGAAAAAACGAACCGGCGCTATGCGTAAAAAATTTTTCGAATGCTCGTTTGAAGCAGAGCGGTGGTAGTATTACATGTACTTATCCACAAACTGAGAGCGATCGCACTCAGTACCTTGAAGATTAGCTTTAACTAGCGATAGAGACAAAGAAATATACACCATTTAAAAAAGCAAAACACTTTGAAGTTAGACTTATATTCTTTTGCGGTTTTGTTGTTTTAATATGAGACCACGCATAACAAAATGATACTTACGAATCTTCTAAGTACGAATCGCGATTTAAGCACTCTACGGGGCGCTCTATCTCTTGAGCCCACTTTGAGCAACAGAATGCTTAAAACCGAAGAAGTTGTGATCGATCAAAAACATTTTCTCCATTTATGGGCCCTCGAAATGAAGATACATGTAGGACTTAATATTTTTTTAATTTAAAAAAGTCAAGTATTATTTTAAAGGATTTGTTAAAAGCAATTGAAGAAGGGTAGTTTTACAGGCTTTTCGCTGGAAGTTTACGCCAAATGTCACAGTTCCGATTAAGTGCGACAATCAATTGGCCAACTTTAAGATTATCTCGATAACTCTAAATGGTTCGCTAGTACATGTATCATTTTGTTTTGCGTGGTCTCATATTAATACTTGCAATTCCATTTTAGGAATAACATGCTGATATGTGATGTCATTGTAAAAAAAACACGATAAATCCGCTACTGGTCGTTGGTCATCACCGTCTCCATCATTTGCATCATTTGATTGAATTCCTCTTCACCCGATCTCGCGACAAATTTACGAACCGATCCACTGAGTCGTCACACGCAGACGTTAAGCCAATTCCGGTGGGTATTAAACGCGTATAGCTCTCCAGAACAGTACTACAGCTTTGGTCGCTGCTCCTTTGTCTTTTCAACTAACGGACGAGTAGCCATCCACGTTGTTTCATTAGAGTGAAATCCCTCAAATTCTCCAAGTCCCTCTGTATAGCATTGCCACAGAAAGACCAAGCGATGTTTCTCTCGCCATTTCTTCGCTGTCCCATGGACCCGAAACGACACATTTTCTGTTTTACTGAGCTGGTATTTCACTTGGTACTTGATCTTTAGTGTTCCCTTCAAGTCCTCAACCTTTACAGTCGTATAGTCCACGTCAGGACTGCTCATTATCACCGTTGACAGACCGTCGACAGTTTGTGCAAAACTATACGGGAACACTATTCGGTCCGCACCGTCATAGTACAACACGCCGTCTTTGTCCTTTCGTGTCAAATTGTACAGCGCGGGTTTCACAGACTTGAGTTCCAACAAATTCAACATATCATCGGTCCGTAAATACGCAACGTCCAGTTCTACCAGCATCCTTTTGAAAAGTGCCGAGTCGCCAGCCCCACTGATCATTTCTATCGAAATGGGTACGTCTTGTCGGTTACTATGCAGTCGCTCTTCCAGTAACAAAGTCATTTGGTGAAGCAGTCTCGCTTTGCCAGCCACTTGCGCTCTCAGAACTTTCTGCTGCTGTTCCGCTTGCATGCGTCTCTCCAACTGCCGCGCTGCACATGCCCTCCATGCGCTGAACATCAAGCTGCTTGCTTGTCGGGCCTTCAGCACCGCTTGGGAAGCGTGCAGCCCATTCAACTGACAGGAAAGCTCACTCGCTTGCTGCTTTAATGTCTCCCTATTTTATTTTTTGACGGTGGCGTAGTCGACGCTGTGCAGCCAGAGCGTTCTGTGTTTCACGTTGCTTTTCGTCGGAGAGTTTGTCAATAGGAGTTTCGCTTTTGTCTTCCTCGAATGACTTCGTATCAGAGCTGACGGTGTGTTCTCTTGTGTTATCCGAGTGCGACGCGAGGAGCTCCTCAGTCACCGCTACGAGTTGATAACTCGCCTCAAGTACGTCGTCGACGGTGCTGTTCGCCTTCTCGTCTACTTTAAGGGCGTCGTTCTGGTCTAGAAATACCGCCACTTTGTCCAAGAAGGCGGCGTCGCCGTCCATAACGCGCGGATCGGGAAAGATGAAATTGTTGTGTATTTTAAAACAAATAACAAATATCATCACTTATCCGATCTCTCTTGAGTTTAATTTAAGCATTAATGGCCAATCATATATTATCTATTGCTTAGAAAAGCGAGACATTTTAAAATAAAAAGTTTAATCAAATCGTGAGGGGTTAGGCTGGTCATCATCCACTCCATTTATCTAATTGCCAAATGAGAGTTTTTGTTCCCAATCGTCGGCGCTGTTACAAAAAATACTGAAGAGCTTTCTATTACTACTTTAAAGTACTAACCTAGCACACTTAGTCTTCGAAACTGTAGTACTCCCATGGCTCAAACGGGTCCTCCCACTCCTCAAAGTCATCGGCCTTGTATTGCTTCATCTCCTCATCTGTGAGTAAGCACGAGTCCAGCGCTGCACGAATCTTAGCAATCTCGTCGTCCTCCTGGGAGAAACGGCCAATAAACACGAGTTCCTGACCACGGTCACCATACTCACGCGCCATGAGTTCCTTGTAGTTCGGTAGCTCCTTCATAGTTCGAGTGCGTTCCTCCTCTGGAATAGCGGCGATCCACATGCCTCCGTTTGCCAGAGTGCAGTACAGACCCGCTTGGGACCAGGTAGCGTAGTTGTGTGGCCGTGTACCGAGCCAAAAGACGCCCTTACTACGCAGCAGGTTCTTAAACAGACCGTTCTGCTTGCCTTCCAGACGCTTCGCGATCTCCTGCTGACCCAGAGGCTCCCCGTCTTCTTCAGTCTCCATTTCTTGGTCCTCTTCTGTTGCTTCTTCTTCCTCCTCCTCTTCTTCTTCTTCTTCGTGGTCGTGGTCATGACCATCGTCGTCTTCAGAAGGGAACGGAGGCAACGTTGGAGACTCGACGATCACGAACTCATCCTGAATGATGCCAGTCAGTCGTGCAGGGTGAAACGGACGCGAAGCCTTGTACAGGAACGACCCAATGCCGTATTCGAGCGTCTCCGGTGTGTGAGGAACCGTGAGAGACTCAAGCCAGCCTGTCTGCTGCGACGCACGCTCGAAAGAGAAGAGCTTGGTGCCGAGGATCATCTTGGGGTTCACACGGCCCTTGACCGTACGTTCGATCTTGGCGTACGAGTTCAAACGACGCAGGACCTTCTCAATAGCTTCCACGTCCTTGGCAGGCACGAGGTCGGTCTTGTTGAGTAGAATGATGTCTGCGAACTCGATCTGATCGATCAATAGGTCAGTGATGGTACGGGTGTCTCCCTCAGGAAGCTGCTTACGATTCTCTTCAACGTCGGCGAGCATGCGCGGATCGTCGAAGACGTGGAAGAAGGTGGCAGCATCAACAACCGTCACACAAGTGTCGAGCAGAGCGATGTCACGCAATAGTGGTAGTTTCTCTCCGTCACGCACAAGAAGCTCGTCGAGCTGAACCGTAGGGATGCCAATAGGGGCAGCGGGCGAGGCACTGGCACCGGTATCGTCTCCCGACGACGCTCCGGAATCCGTCCGAGAGCGCTTGGAGCTGCTGGGAGACAGAGCAGGGTCGGCCTTCACCTCTTCCTCGACGCCTTCAGGCAGCTCGAACACAAACGTCTCGGCCACTTGCATGGGCTCACTGATACCAGAGCTCTCGATGACAATGTAATCAACTTCACCCTGCTGAGCGATACGTGCGATCTGCTCGAGCAAGTCCACACGAAGCGTGCAACAGATGCAGCCGTTCTCAAGGCGAACGAGCTGCTCTTCGCGCTGGAGTACACCGGCAGATGCCACAAGGTCGGCATCGATGTTGAGCTCGCCCATGTCATTGACAATCACAGCCACGCGTAGTGCGTGGTCCTTGTTCTTGAGAATGTGTTGCAACAACGTGGTCTTACCACTACCCAGGAAACCCGATAGGAGTGTCACGGGGATGCGATTGCCGTCCTTCTTGTCGGTCTCCGTCATAAGCGGCCGTTTGTTGGTAGGAGAGTCCGTCACAGCCCCGGCCATTACAAAAGATGAGGCCTTGATGGTCAAATGCACTTGAGTTGGCAAATAGAAGAATGAACAGTGACCAGAAGCTTGTGTCGGAAGGAGCTACAGCTAAGAGCCTAGCATCGTACCCTAGTACATGTACTTCGAAGTAGTTCATTTTTTTCCGACGGTTCTAGTGGACTTCGCCGTCGGCCAAAGGTTGTGACCATGTTGAAGCGATTCTGGTGGTGTTGGCGTGTTTGTTATCTCCGACGACGGCATACAGTGGTTCCGAAGGCGAGATGGGTTCACGCCGTCGGAAACTATTTAACGAAGTAATTATAGTTGGAAAATATTTTAACGGGAGATCTCTGAAACATGCGGGGATTTGTGCAATTATGCTAAAAGATGCAGGCTCAAATGTTATTTAACACCGACCCATTACACTGCGCGACAGAAGTTATGGATGAATAAACACGTCTTTCCGACAAAAGGTTGTTTGATAGTTATGTTACGAGGGAAGGTTGATAGATAGCTATGAAATATGATAGTTATGGTAAAAGTAGGCTACACATACAGACTTGCTGTCCTAAAAAATATCGTATCAGGTTTGTCATTTAAGCAATATCAAGTTTACTCCATACTAAAAATCTCTGGGAACGGACTTGGTGGACCTGAATTATATCATTGGGGGACCCAGACCGAGTGGTCCGGGGGGGGTCGCAGTTCTCAGGCGTGAAAACAGATTATTTTGTGTTTTGGAGAATGGCACTCGTTGCTGATCCCAACTGAAAATTATGAGACGAGCCAATTGTTCCCAACTAGTACTCAACCAATACCCAAACGCTGTTAGAGTTACCATCCATGGACCAACCTGCTCCCAAACAGGAACGAATGGTGCCCAACTCAAAAGGGCCAGAAGGTCATTGTATACGTATAGCTGGATTACGAAAGCGTAGCTTAGCTTGACTTCGATATTCTGGCAGTCTTCGGTCAGTAGTGAACACACATTAAGTTGATACTCTTGGGCAACACAATGGTTGTACATGCTCACTAATAATGTCACGAGTGCAATTTGAATAAAATGGTGGATGTCACTTTCTTATTCATCTCTTATTCGTCTCTTTTCAGCGTAAGCATCGTTAAGAACACAGGCACATACGATGGTAGCGGTATCTCATACACTGATGAGTCTTCTTGTCCAGATGACCAAGTGGATCAGCACCACAAAACAACTCGAATGCCAGTAAGACATAGATACCACAATTGTAGCGATCGGTCTGAACGCCCAGACCAGATTCGAAGTTTCTCACTCGAAAGCTTATGCCAACTGCACGGGGTACAATGGAGAACACTTTCTATTTGGGTGCATTGGTGCCGTGGGTCGCGTCGATCATCACCACTTCTGGAAACAAGTGGAACCGCTCACGCATATGCTTCGTCTGAAGTGTAATGCAAGTCGCAATACGCTACGAATTATAAACAAGTAAGGTAGCTGTTCACTCAATTTTTAGGATAGCTTCATATGAATCATACCTTCTCTTGTATCGTATCGACAAATATACGACCTATATTTCCTTCTTATTCAGAGAACTCGATCATCCATTGCTTTAGTCGCATGGCACTTGTCAGCGCGGTATAATCTTACTTCTTGAGCTTTCGCATTAAGTTGTGCACGTCCTGGATCGAAGGGTTGGATGAAGAGTTTTCTTGGATGTAGATCTGAATCTTTTTCTTTGGGGCCCCTGCTTTCCGCAACGCATATACAGTTCTCAAAACATTTGGTTCCAACGAGGTCCGATTGTGAGAATACTGGCCGAAAGCCCGCTTATTGAGTGTTTGACTGTGTTCCAGTCGCAACGAAGTGATCCGCAAGATAAAAGTTGGTTCACGGCCATCCACCACTTGGACACAGGAATTGATCTGTAATATACACATAGTACACCGAGCTAGGCCGACTTACCCACATACGTTTTTTATTTGACTAACTCAACCCAACTGGAGCCAAACGGGAGCCCCTCTGGACAACAGTAACCCAACTGGACAGCCGCAGCCCAACCGGGGCCCAGCCGAGGTCCAACTGGAGACCAACTGGAGATCGATCTCTTACCTGCGCGTTGCACATCAGTGCACGGGACTGCTGCCTCTTCCTCTTGCCTTGGCCGCGCGGCTTGTACTTCCCAGCGTGCGTACAATCATACGTCTTCGCATAATTTATCCATGCTTTAGGAGCGAGCGGAGCATTTGAACCGGTAGTTTGAATCTTCTTGTTCCGGTTGCCACTTTGTTGTTCATACGGATGCAAAAGCTCTAAAATATACAACCAGTTAGCGACCAGTACGTACAGATTAGTGAAATGTTGTTTGCAAATCTGGAAAGTGCTCCGCTCGTACCTTGCAGGTAGTCTCCCAGCGCTTTCCACGATGTAAATTCTGTTCTGTCTGGGGAGGGTGCAATGGCAACCACCCTTTCCTCGCTCTCGCCGCGCGAAGCTGTCTGCAGAGGCTGTGATATCTCGGAACGACTCTTTTTAGAAGGTGATGAGCGCGAGCTGGTGGCGCTGGATGTGTCGACCCATTTCTCGTCACTCTCGGCCGGGGACACACTTTGTGCATCGATTAATACACCGTCGTTACCCATACCACCCTTGTCAGGCTCTCTTACAAACGCTTTCTTACGCTCCATGTCGACTGGCATAGCGATGCTGGCTAAACGAGTGGTCAGTCGAAGGGAGAAAGCTAGCTATACGCTATACGCCACTGCGGATATGGTAAGTATTTGGTCTCGACATCACGACCTCAGTTGGGTACGTCACTCACTTGGAGAATGAAAAAACTACAAAGTCGTACGACTATGAAACGGTCGTGGAAAAGCTTTTTGTAATTAATTTTGTGTCAGTAACCAGCAACTAGCAGCCTTGAAATTGTTTGTATCAATCTTCGACTGTATTGAGAGCATTTACGATTGGTACAGTATGTGTTCTCGAAGTCGGCAATTTTTATATGCATGTACCAGAAATTGCTAACTAGTACGGGCTATACTTTAGTCTGGCACAATGGTCCACCAACAAGCCCCCCCCCCTCAATGAAACACAAAAATACAGTAATCCATCTAAACTCTATCGTGTAATATCTGAAAATGATCATCATTTCACGTAATTTTAGAGAGTGCGATACTCCATTGCATTTTCACAAGTATGTTCAGCTGTGGCACAATTTGTGCCCCCCCCCAGGCTGGATGAGGGTTTAGGTTACATATCGTAGTCAAAATTCAGCACTACACCGTGTGCTCGTGTACAAACAATTAGTAGTTTTCTTTACGTTTCTCTTCTGTTACGCTAATTATACTGGATAGGACTATCCGGAAAGAGGGTAGTCTCTATTGATGGAAAGCACGTTTTCGACTGAAGAAGGGGTGTCTGCATGTCAAACTTAGCATCAACAACGCCGGCACAGTGAGAGGCGAGTGGCCAAGCCACACGTTACTGGTTCATTCGGGGGAATTCGCCACTATATCGGTGTTATTTACGTAGAGTAGATATTTTAGATTTAGGTGTTCTTAGGAGCGATTTGCTCACTCCACACCCAAGGCTGCCTCATATCGATCCACTTCGAAACTCTCTGCGAGGCCTGCCTCACTAACTAGTAATGACCGCGGATGACGTTTGAAAAGCAGTATTCTAGAAGGTAATTGTTTATGGTTTATCGACAGAGAGCAGACGCTTGTTTCACATTTTATCTAATGCAGATATGCTACCGAGAAAAAGATACTAAAATATACAAAAAATGCGACCCTGGACGTGATATTTTTCAGGACTCGATCGTAAGAACATGTTTACCATTTGTAAATTTAGAAGGTTGTAATCCGAATGCCGGCGTACAGGTCGTACTCCGAATATGCTTCCTTTTTTTTGCTGTCGCTCTCAGATTTTATTGGACTACAATGTACAGTTTTGGAGCTGCTCCAATCTTTAAAAATGAATAGATGTGCAGACACGATGATGGATGAAATCAAACGATCTAAAGTATGCATGTGTATGCTATATACCGAAGAGGACTCGATCTGTGTTTTGTTGTACAGTTTAGACCTTACTATTGGATAGTCTGAAGACTAGCGCATTCACGCACGCATTTCGTAAATTTGGCGATTTTTTTTATCAACGTGCTGTCAAAACGGCCTCACCTCCCATCTAGATCAAGCGGTGCGATTTATTGAATATGAGCAAGCTTTCCAAGCTCGCTTGTTCACAAAAAGAGTGACGTGAGTGCATTGGTGAACGAAGCGATTTTCTATTTATATTTTTCTCTTGTCGCTTAACACGTGTCCTCGATAATGACACTTTTCCTGTAGCACTTCGACATTAGTGGCGAAAACTCTGAAGGCTTCATTACCGCGTAGATGTTTTTCCTGAGTCGTATACGGGTAGGGTCAGACAAAAGGTCGGCGATAACTTGTTAATTTCGATAAGCGTACAAAACGCTAGGTCATGTCACGATGAGATTTGGCTCAGAATAAACGACATTACGCAAGCCGTGCGCACGATAGGAGCTACAAATGATACCGGAGTATAGATCAAGTTTATCAAGCGAAAGAAACAACGGAAGCTCCTGATGATCAAGACCAAGTCAATCGACGAACCTGGTTTCATGCTAGCTCTGACGAATGAAACTATCAATAATGTCGCGCGTGCTCTCGCCCACGTCGGGACGGCACATGCTCAACGCTAGTTGGAGACGGACTGGGACAGGTTTCAGGGAAATTCTACCTTTGATCTGTTGACAAGGTACAAGGACAGTGTCTTTCGCCCTGAACCCGCGGAAGGTCTTCTAGAGAAGTGCGAGGTTGGGCACCGGTCCTCAGACGCTCGCTCAAATCTGGGCGATGGAGTGTACCTAACAAGTATTGGTAACGGCTTTGTCGGACACTATGTTATCGACCTCGAGAAAAGATTAGGCGTCGACATCGGTAGCACCAGCTATTCCCAGAGTCCTTTTTGTGCTTGAAATGCAGTGAACTTGATATCTTCTGATCGCATGCGAACTTGATAGTACACCGACATCAAGTCCATCGTCGA